TGGTTCCTCTGATAGTTTGGGAAAAGATGGAAAGAACCATCAAGCCCTAGGAGGAGGCAAGAGCTGGATGAGCCTGAAAATTCATCTCTCGATCCAGACTCCTGTGTGCAGGGTCCCGCTGGGCCTTGTGGGAACAATGACAGGCAAAACACCTCCTGCTGCTGACAGAGAGGGGACAAGGGGACACCCAGAGGAGAATGAGACCAGGACTCGTAACAAGAACAAAAACAGTCATATTCCTTTATAGAAACAACAAATGAACACCCAAACGATGGGGGCTGAGGGCAGGTCCCAGGCCTGAGCCACATGAAGGCCTCACTGACAAGACCACACCTGGGGGATGTTCAAGTCCCTGTGATCACAGGCCCTGGTGGGACAAGGTTCTACTGAAGGGACAAGGACAAGGGGGCACAGAGGTGACCCAGCCGAGGAGAGACCACGTCACTGCCCACAATGCACTGAGCACCAACTGGGCTCAGGCCATGTCCACGCTCAGTCTTCAAAACCTCTCCTGTCTCCACCCACAGCAGGCTCAGCACAGCAAACACAAATTCTGGAAGGTTCTCAGGTCTTCCATTTATTTCCTCTCAAACTTTAGTATTTTCTCCTTCAATTAACGCATCATCAACCCTTCATGACAAGAACTGAAAAACAAATTCATATCCAAATGTTTATTTCTATAGGAAGTGAGAAGTTGCCGCTCAAAGTAACATGAAGTAAAGGCGGAGATGGAAACAGCCTCTGCTGGAACAGGACAGTGGGTCAGGGAAGAGGCTCAGTCACCAGTCAGTGCAGGGACGGGGCGTGGAGAGCAGGGGGCGGGTAGTCTCCCACCTCCTCACAGGATGCTGAGAGGAATGCAGAACTATTCAGATGCCTTTTGCAGAGAGAGGTCAGAGGTTCCTGAAGTCACAAAGTGGGGCATGAACAAATCTTGCATCACTCAGTCCCCCACAAGGCAGCTGTCTCACGCTGTAGAAGAAGATAATCATGAACAAATTCAGGTTAGTGGCTGAGTGGTGACATTCTCAACAGTCCACCACGTGCTCAAACTGTCCCAAAGAATCCCCGTTACCCAGTCCTGTCCCCTCTGCCCCAACCCCTCCCCACTTCAGGCCCTCCAGGGTCTCACCTTTAGAAGCCGTGAGAGACACATCAGAGCCCTGGGCACTGTCACTGCCTGGGGGAGAACAAAACAGGACGTGGTCAGAGCTCACAGCAGATGTGGCTAAAGGAGGAATGATGGGGGTGGGTGGGCTCCCCCAAAGGCTTCCATCTACACTATCCCAAGGATCTCAGGGATCACCCCCCTCCACACTCACTTGCAGCCTGAGCGTAGCTCCCTCCTTTTCCACCTGTGGGAAGAAAACATCACGTGAGAAGCCAGGAAGGAGGCAGGACCATGAGGTCCTAAAGGAATCCCCCAGTCCTGAACCCCAGAGAAGTTTCCAGAACTGCGACTATAGACCCACGGCAGGATCAGGAACCTGAGGAAAAGTACATGTGTGGGGACTGCACCAGCCGCCCTCCTGGAGGTCTGTCCTCAGCAGGGACNAACCACTTCTGCTTTTGGAATCTGACAAGATGGATCTGAGCCTGTAAACCTGAGCGGAATCCCCTTGAGAGATATTTTCATACAATAGGACGATGGACTAGACTAATTGTTAGTGGCTGAATGGGACTCTAGTAATGTGTCAGCATCTTTTAACTGTTATGATTCTTTTCCCAAGAGGGATCTGTAGGCAAAGACCAGGGAATAGCCTGTGCTATAATAAGAAATATTTGGTCTTTATCCCTGGTTCCTGGCACAGAGCTCCCCAAATTCTTGTAATCTCCTTAGTGACAAGAGCGTCTTTGTGATGCTAATGAGATGACTCTTGGCTGAGGTTAGCCTGGAAGTTTCAGGATAGGGGCTCATCACCAGAAAGACAAAGCAGTGATTAGGTGGTTGGAACTTCAACCTCATCCAAACCTCAGGAGAGGGGCTGGAGGTTGAGTTCAATCACCAATTGCCAATGATTTAATCAATTATGCCGACATAGTGAAACTTGATAAAAACCATTAACAATGGGGTTCAGAGAGCTTCTGAATTGATGAACACATCCACATGCTGGGGGTGGGGAGCCATGGTGACAGAGGCTCCTGCACTTGGGATCCCTCCAGACCTCACCCTCCTGACCTCTTCATCTGGGTGCTCACTTGTACCGGCTATAATAAACTGTATCAGTAAGCTTTGCATTTTCCTGGGTTCTTTCAGTTGTTCTAGCAAATTTTCAAACTTGAAACAGGGGACCTGCAGCTTAGTACACAAGTCAGACAGAAGTGCAGGTAACATGGGGACCTGAAACTTGTGACTTGCGTCTGAAGTGAGGGCAGTCCTTGGGACGGAGCTGGTAACCTGTGGGGTCTGATGCTCACTCCAGGTAGTCCCATTGATTGTGGGACACCCAGGTGGTGTCAGAGCATCAGAGAATTGGTTGGGTGAAGGGAAAAAACCCTCAGAATCCCACAAAGAGAAATGGAGGGTGAGAGTAAGCAAGTAAACCTCTGCCTTATGTCATCTGAGAGCAAAAGATCAGCAAATATAAGCATTTATATGAGGTCCTCGGGTCTCCTACCAGCTGTTGATGGACCAGATTTTGAAATGAACTGCACCTAAATTAGAAAACTAGGAAGGTGTTTGGTTTTTATTTTTGTTTTTCAGTCCTTTGTGGTGGTCCAATAAAAAATGATAAATGTTAGATTCCCTCCTCAGAAATATTTCCATGTACGAGGAAATATTAACATAACACATCAGGGCACACATAGGCCGGGTGCTCCAGATCTGGGGGTTCTAATCCTAGTAAGAGACAGAGGCAGGGAGATGTTTTGAGTAATCCATCACCATCCTACTAAGCCACTCCACCTATTTGTAAGTATAAACTGGAGTAGAAAAATTTGGACCCCAGAATCAATTATCAAGAGACTAAGTTGAAAGATGTCATTTTTTAGTCCCTGTTCTTCCAGCCAAACCTGAGTACCTAGAAAGCACCAGAGAAAGTTCTAGCCTCAAGATCCTTTTCCAAGAATTGAAATTAGTCTTTCTGTTTCCATCCCTCACCCCCAACACCTGAACCCTCTTCCTACATTAGGAAAATTCCACATGTAGAGTCTTAGAGGGGGGCTGAGGCCACTTCACTCCATAAAACAGGGAAACCCACTGTCCCCAACATTCTTGCAGCTGGACACGGCAGGAGGCTCCACCATCAGGTGACCAGATGCCAGACTCTGACTCAGGATGTGGTGACACAGAGGCTGGAACTGTGCAGAATGCATTTGGCAGTAACACTAGTTGCCAGGAGCAGCATTGACAGCAGTCATGGCCGCAGGGTCCGGTGTCCACAAGGATGTCAGTGGTGTGAGCAGTGACACGTGTGCCCAGCAGCAGGGGCAGTGGGTCCCACATGGGAGCCCGCCAAGGGGGGATTGTGCATCAGTGCCTGGCTGTGTGGCCTCAAGCATGTTCTGCGGCCTTCCCCAAAATAGTGTTAGACCCCAATATCACATGTATCTATTAGGTCGTCGGAAAAGTCATGATGCATTTTTGCAACGAAAAACATAGACAAATACGTCATGACTTTTCTGACGACCCAATATTTAGTACTTTATATCTAAATTAGAAAAAAATTTGATTCCATTGTTTGCTCCCAAGAATCAATCCGGGAAATAGTTTCAGGAGAGAACATTCAGAGATTTTATTACACAGGCCTGTGACCCACTCCTAAATCTTCCACCTGACTCTACCCAATGGTAGAGAGAACGACATGTAACTCCCAATATCACATCTTATAATCGACGATGTGTGTCCTCCCCTTTCTGAGGAGAAAAACATCTTTAAATGTGTATTTAAGACCATTCCCCACCCTGAGCTCGGATCACTGCCCTCAGAGATTCCCAAGCTGGCTGAGCCCCAGGATTGCTTCTGGGCTTCTTACAAACACTCATGCCTCTCCCAGACCCACCATCTCAGAGAATCAGACACAAGCCCAGGAATCGCTTATGTAACAAGCCCTGCAGGTGAGGCTGGCGCACAGCCCTGTGGGAACTCTGTTGACGGTCTTGTTACTAAAAGTGTGATCTGAACACCAGCAGCAGCACCAACCTCATTATAAATCCAGGATTTCTGCTCTGCTCAGGCTTTGAGTCTTAACAAGATGTCCAGGGGATTCCTGTGCCCAGGGAAGTTGGGGACTCCCTGTTCTACGTGCCTTATCCACGTGGGGCGAGAACTGTACCGTCTGCTTGGGTGTGTGGTCTGATCAGATCCCAGCACTGGGGGTCCAGGGTTCAGTCCCGTTCCTTTCTCTTCTACAGCCATCGCTCCCTTGGTGACCTCATCTGTATTCAAGGCTTTAAATATCATTTACATGTGTCACCTCCCAAGTCTATTTCTCCAGCCCAGACATTCCCCCTAAACTCTAGACTCATCTGCCCAACTGCCAGTGCGATGACCTCATTGTATTTCTAACAGGCATCTCAGCTCCAACATCTCTTAATGAATGTCTGTGACGCCCCCACCCCTCAGATCTTCTCCTTCCAGACTCTTCCCCATCTCTGCTGACAGCAACTCCATCTTTCTACTTGTGCCCTCTGAGATTGTGGGGTCCTTGACTCTCATGTCCCAGACTGACCCATTAGGAAACGCTGTGATGTCCACCTCAGAACGTACCCTGAACCCCACTCCCACTATTTCCCCCGCTCACCCCCAGGG